ACGCTTCCCGAGGCACCAGTGTGAGGAGGAAATGCAGGCTGTTGCTTCCAGCAACAGCCGGCAGGGCCGGGCGGCTTCCCAGCTCCCCCTCTGACTCATGGCCGCCTGCAGCTCCCCCTCCCTTGGGGTCCTCAGCAGCCCCATCTGTGCAATGGGGAGAGGAGGCTTTATCCAAAGTGTAGCGTCACTGAGACAATACCTTGGGATTCTTTTCAAGACCACTGTTGGGCTGTGGAAGAGCTGGGAGCATCATCTAGAGCAGCCCAGCTGGGCATTTGAACCCAGAACACTGAGGGGTTCTGTTTGGAGTCATCCTGATTACTCCAGAAGCCTGGGAGAGCTCAGTTGGCTCCTGAGGCAGAAAGTGTGGTGGGAGGCAAAGGAGTGGCAAAGGGACCTGCATTTGGCCCCTTTCGGGAAGAGCACAGTTGGGGAGGCCTGGTTCTGGCTCTCTGGGCTGTCTCCCAACCTTGGTTTACCCATCTGCAGAATGGAGGCTGTTACCCATGAGGTCATTTATTCAGCGTCTGTGCTGGGCCTGGATCCTGGGGCTAGTAGCAGATTAGCCAGGAGAGAAGGATTTCTCTGCTGCAGACATGGAGTGGGGGTCGTGATTTGGTGACACTGGGGAAGGACTGAGGTGGGGGGAGGTAAGGAGCTGGCCAGCAAGGCACAGTGTCCAGCGGAAAATCCCAGCTGTTGTCAGGAAGTGTTTCCTCCACTGGTCTCCTGGGAGGGAGACGAGGCTAGCAGGAAGAAGGAGGGCAGTGGGGGTAAATAAGGCCCCAGACGGTCCAAGTGGAGACATCCCAAGGCTGGCAGTTGGGCGGGTGTACCCCGCACCTTGCAGGAGGGCTGGAATGCATCTCCATGCTCTGAGTGCTGGGGGGCTGGGACTGCCAAGAAGGACTGGGCCCTCATCCAGATTTCAAAGCCTTCCCCAGGGGCCTTGTGGTGCCCTCTGCCCTGTCCTGAGCTGCCGCCTCGGGGGTGACAGATGCTGTTTCATCGGCCGAGGCAAGTGGGAGGCCTCCGGAAGGTCCTCCTGGGAGGTTCCGGGGAGCAGCGGGGGTGTCGGGGGGCAGCGGCGGTGTCAGCAGCTGCTACCCAGCCTGGACCCGCTCACGGTGGCCTCCCAGGTCCCTTAGGCCCCAGGGGCCGGGGGTGGTGCTTCTGCATTGAGGCTGGTCCCTCCTGCCCTCCCTTTCTCCCCACTGCCCACCGAGCTTCTTGGCTCTGGCCCCTTCCCATCCCTGGCTGCGTCTGCAGAGCCCCCCGGGAAGGCAGGGAGGAGGCAGGCGCAGCGGGCTCAGAACAGCGGGTGCCCGCGCAGCCAAGTATTTGCACGAGCTGTCAGAGACAGACAGGCATGTGGGGAATTTGGTGCGTGTGGGGCTGGGGGAAGCAGCCGGGTGGGCAGGCAGGCAGGAGGAGGGAAGCTGGGGCTGCCTCCTGCAGAGGCAGAGACCCTGCAGAGACCACCTCTCCCCAGTCCTAGAGGCAGGCTGCATGCAGGCACCTTCCTCCCGCCTGTGCCAGTGCAGTGAGGGAGGGGAGTGGGATGATCCTGTGGGGTCTGATAATAGCTCTGACAGGGGGAAGGGGGCACCTTGTCTCGGGCCGACAGCCTGGAAGAAGAGGCTCTGGTGGAGCGTGGAGCCAGGCAGGAATCCGGGTTGTGCCCGAATGTGGCCTCCAGGAAATAGCAGCTGTCATGCTCCTGCCCCTCCACCCCAAGCCTGGCACAACTTGTTTCCTGGCTAGAGTCCGGCCAGAGCAGATTGGAGGAGCCTGGTATTGCCCGGCTTGGGCAAGGAACGGGCAGGATGGAGGGGCCGTGTTTATAAGCCTAAAGGCACTTGGGCTGCTCTGAGGAGGGGACCTCAGCCCTTACCTCCTTATTTGAAGACCCCACCCGAGTCACCTTTGTGGTCTATGCTCCAAAAGCACCCGTTAGGCAAGGGATGACCCAGAGCTGAGTAATCCTTGGTTTTTTATAGTTTGAGAGCCCAGAGAGGGGGATGTGCTGGCCCAAGGTCACACAGTGGGCTCCCCAGCCTTCCCTCTACCCTCATGTGGGTGGGGCCGCTGGGAATTGGTGAACATGGGGGGTTTGCTGGGGTGGGGGGCCTATATTTAGTCAGTCCTGCAGAGCCAGGGCGCCTCTGGGAGCAGCTGCTGGGGTGGGGGGGGTACACAGACAGAGGCCCAGAGCTGCATTTAGTCTGGACAGAAATATCCTCCCCCCACCCACCCACTCTCTGGCTGGGCGGCCAGGCTGCGGGCCTGTCCCCTGAGGGGCAGCTTGCCTGGGCCTGGTGGCCGCGGGACAGGCAAGATGACCCGATAGGCTTTTCCCAGCTCAGGTTTCGATGAAACAGGAACCGGAGCTGCAGCCTCAGCTGAGGGGGCCAGGGCAGCCTCCCCCACCTCCACCCTCACTCTCCTCCCCATGCTGCAGCCTCTCCTTCTTAGAGGCCTGGGGAAGCAGCAGGTTATTTATCAAGCCAGCCTCCCCGCTGCGGCTGCCCGCTCCACCCCCCCCTTGTGCTGGCGGCCATCAGCCCAGCAGAGCAGGGTGAGCTGGGCAGGCAGGCGGCAGGATTAGCTCAGGAGATGTGAGTCACCCCATCCCTGGGAACCCCACGAGGCCCTGCGGCCTGGCAGGCAGAGTGCACACTCACGCACCCCACACGCGGCACACAGGGCACACACTTAGAACAGACACAGTCACTCGCAGCACACGGAGTTCCACACGACTCAGCACACCCAGCCGACACGAATGGTACAGACTCGGTCACATGCACTGTGCACACACAGCTCCCATGTGTCTCTCCTGAAGCACTCTCCTGGTTCCAGTCACAGCCCAGCCTCTGGCACACACATCCACCGTCACGTACCTAGGCGAGTGCACGCACACAGGCACACATGGTGTGCCCCCTGCCGGGAGGCCACTCTCACCTCATTGGCTCCACATGCTGGGGCCTGGTCATCCTCAGGCCATAGCTTACCCCAGATGATGCCATAGAATGGGGCAGGGCACTGGCACACACAGGTACACCTGCTGCAGTCAGGACTCTGCTGCCCCAGACACCCGTGTTTAGGGCCTTCAGCCATGTTGAGTTTACTGGGTTCTGCAAGGTTCGGGTGGGGAGGTGGAGATGGTTTTCTTATGTTGCCAACTTGGCTCTGCCCTCTCTGAGGAGGAGGCCCAAGTATCAGACATGAGAGTGTTAAACCCACCTGCCCTCCAGTACAGGGCCTCTGGCCCAGGCAAGTGGGTTGGATACATGGGGGAGGGATACAGGGGAGCTGGGAAAAGGAAAGGGTGGAAGAGGAATGTCAGGGAAAGTCAGTTTCCCCAGGACCACCAAGTGGCTGGCTGGTTCCCTGCCCCGGGGCATGGGGTCCTTGAGAGGTTGGGGGGGGTGCCAGAGATGGGGGAAGAATGAGACCCCTGACCAAATGGGCTGTCCCCAGGAGTCTTTCTGCCCATCTTTCCTGCTTACCCCACATCTGCTTCTCTCTGTCCCCTTAGTTGCCAGGGCCCTCATTATCCAATGCCCCCACTTCAGTTTTCACCATGGCCCTGGTTCTTAGTCTACAGCCCTGCAAAATGGGTATAGAGCTGGCTTGTGTACAAGGAAGTCCTGGGGTGCTGAGAGTTGAGGAGCCTTTTTAAGCCTTGCCTCCCCTTTGGGGTTGGGGCTTGCCTTCTCTGCATTTTTCATATGCTGCCCAAAAAAGCCATTTTTGAGATGAGAGAATTGAGTCTGATGGGAATGGCTTCATGGTTATGAGGGGCTTTGGACAGTCTCCTAACACCCAGACTACAGGTCATTCTGGGCCTGCAGTTCCGAGGCAGCCTCACAGTGGTCAAAGGGCATGTGGCTATAAGGACTTAGGCCCAGCTGGGCTCCCTCCTCCCAGCCACACAGGTCTCTATGAAGAACTGGGGTCGAGGAGGAGAGAGGGACCCAAACATCCGGAGGGACACAAACAGCAGTGGCCAGTCAGGAAACCGGATGCCCCTGTGCCGAGGACTCTGGAGTTGGCCAGGCCTGGGCTCCACACCTGGCTTGGTCAATGCCTGCTGTGTAATCATGGGCGTCTGCTCACCTCTCTGACCTCATGTTTGTCACCTGTGAGATCGGTATACTCTCATCTCTGTCCCAAAGCGGCAGAACCTGAAGTAGATGGTGATGTGTGTTGTCATCAGTTCTCATTATGTCAGTGAGACATAATGAGTGGCCCTCCACCTGCTCCACTAGAGCTGGCATTTTTCTGGGGGTGGCATCCCACAACAAGCGCTCCTCAATTAGAATGGCTTGGATTTAGCCTCCTCTAGGGCTCTTCTCAGATGGGGTCAATGAGGTACCCAAGTGAAGAGGCTGAGCTGGGGGCCAGGGGTTGGGGGAGGGATGGGAATGGGTTGGACCCAGGGCAGAAGAACCCATGGTCCTTGGCTGGAAAATCCTGGAGGCTTCCTAATAGCAGAGGGAATAGAGAAAGCCAACTGTAGTTTCAAGGCTTTCTCTGTCTCCCATCCCCTATACTCACACAGCAAGGCTACAAGTTAGACTTGAGCAGGGACTTCCAGGTGGCAAATGGAGCCTTTGCAGGGTGGTGAGAGGCTTGGCATGTGCCTTTCTGGCAGGGCTGTCCCATCTAAGAAGAGCTGACGCAAGCAGGCAGGGCTGAGGCGACGGAGGCAGGAAGAAAGGCTGTCTGGAAGTGTGGGTAGGCCTTCCTTTGAGCAAAGAGATGCAAGCCTGGTCAGCAGGGTGCTACCCACGTTGTAACCTTCAGGCTTCTACCAAATGCCCATCTCTCCCGAGGTCCTGCAGGCTAGAGGGAGAATGCTCTGTATTTGGGGCTGGGGGAAACTGAGTCATGAGGGATTGTCTCAGAGCTCAAAAGCAAACAGTGAGAGAGAACCAGGGCCATGACCTGGGTTACCCAACACGCCTGGCCTGCCTTGTCCGTGACGTTCACGCTTATGCTGGCAGATAATGACAGTAAAAACAATAACACAGCTATGGTTAGTTGAGCACCTACTGCATGTGGACCCTACACTGACCCCTTCATGATGAGGGTGGGGTTGTCAGTGGCTGCTTTTCACAGGCTAGGGGTTGGGCTCAGCTGAGGGTCAGCAACCTGTCTGAGGTTATCTAAGCTGAAGACTGCAGAGCTAGGAGAGGAATCCTGACTCCAAGGCCCACCTGGACCCTGGCATGGCTTGAGCCTGTCTCTGAGATGAGGGGCTCCCCTCACCCACACACAGGATTTGGAGTGTTCTAGTTGGGCCAGCCTCTCCCCATGCCCAGCCCCTTAACTGCCCTAGGGCCCTCTGCTGTGTTTTTTTTTTTTTTGGAGACTGAATTTCTCTCTTGTTACCCAGGCTGGAGTGCAATGGCGCGATCTCGGCTCACCGCAACCTCAGCCTACCACAACCTCAGCCTCCTGGGTTCAAGCAGTTCTCCTGCCTCAGCCTCCCGAGTAGCTGGGACTACAGGCATGTGCCATTATGCCCAGCTAATTTTTGTATTTTTAGTAGAGATGGGGTTTCACCATGTTGACCAGGATGGTCTCGATCTCTTGACCTCATGATCCAACTGTCTCAGCCTCCCAAAGTGCTGGGATTATAGGCGTGCGCCACCGCACCCGGCCACCCTCTGCTGTCTTAAGCCACTTCCCAGGTTTGAACCTAAAAGTCTTGAAACTGCTAATCCCTTAACCCCAGGGGAGGGGTGGGTGGTGGGTGGGGGATCCCCTGGGGAGCAGATGGATGCCCCTTGGGGTTTCTGGGTTCTTCATGCAGACAAGTTCTGGGAAACTCCATGTTTAGGCCTGTGGAAGCTGCCTGGGGCCTAGTCAGGGTTGTGCACCTCCCCCACCCCTCCCTATGGGCTCCATTTCCCTCTCCTGGGCACCCTGCAGGGAGTAGTTGAGCAAGTGCCCTTGAGCTGGCACTTCCTCCTTGGTTCACGAGGACATAGCCACAATGACCCCCCCATCCCGTGGTCCATGTGCCACTCAGCACCAGGTGCTGCATGGCCCTGGGTCAGGGCTCGCTAAAGGTCACTGAGTCGGGTTGACTTTACTAGAGGCTGGTCCCAGCCTCAGATCACTTCCCCTTTCTGGTCTCAGTTTCTTCGCCTGTGAAAAGACTGTGCGAGTCTGGCCTGCACTCTCTGAGGCAGGGTAAGTCCATTCCGCATAGACAGACACACTCAGGAGTTCTGTAACTGGTGTTCCAGTCTCCCAGGCCCGGAGCTCCTGCAGCCCTCACACCCACACGGGGCTCCAGTGGAAGCAGGATGGGCTCTAGAGTTGGGCCAGCCTGCATTTCAGCTTCACCTTTACTGTCCACACTTGACCTTGACCACACCAGGGCCCCACTCAGCTCTGAGCCTCAGTGTCCTCATCTGAGAAATGGGAGAACCACTGTGCCTACCTCTGTGGGTTACTGTGTGCATCAAACAAGATGGTGTGGACAGAGCACCTGGCACAGAACCAATAGATCGTGGTGATAGCAGAGCCTCTTCCCCCCAGACTATCCTCCTGGTCACTGTGCCCCACCCTTGGTCTTGAGAATTCTGGGAAGGAGACGGTGCCAATCTGCTGGCTCAGCCAGCTTGGCCATTGACCTTCAGAGCACCCAGGCTGTCAAGGCCGCCGACTGCTTGCCGGGCGGGCAGGGGGGAGTGCCAGCCAGCTCCTCGCCTGACGCTGCCTGCTCCTGCTCCCACTCTCCTCTCCCTCTCTGTGCCTGTGTGTGAGCTAATTAATCTCAGCCCCTTTGGGAAATTAGAACGCTGCAGCCGTGGCCTCCTCAGCCTCATGGTGCCTGTGCTGCTACTGGGCCATGCCAAGACCCACTGTCATTTTAGGGGCACCGGGGAGGGGGATGGGGACAGTGGGATAAGCTGGGCAGGCCATGGGTCTCCCTGAGGCCCCACCTCCTTTCCTGGGGGGCTCTGGTCTCTCAGCCCCCCTGCCTTACCAGATAGCATCCATAAGGATGCCAGGTCAGTGCCCGACTGGGGTGAAACAGCCCCCAGTGGCCTCTCTGACCTGGCACCAGGGCTGCTATGGTCACCCCCTTATACCACATTCCATGTCATTGCAGGGTCCTCTTGCCTGCCCGGCTTGGGCTAATGGAGACAGATGTAATTATGGAATTTTGCTTGGGAAATTAATTTGAAAAAGTTAATTAATTGGCAGTTCCGGAGGTGGCGGGCTCCACGCCCGGCCAGTCTTGCTGACGTTAGTGCTGACCCACTGGAGACGTGTAGCTTCCGGACAGGCCAGGGAGAGGGACCCCAGTGACCTGGCTGGGCAGCTGTGGGACAGACAGATGGATGGACAGTGAGGACCAGAGGGTAGACCAGTATCCTGGCCCAGAGTGGACACCTAGGAAGGGTTCGTGGACCAGACCTGCTGAGGATAAGAACCCAGCCGCTTGTCTGTGTGTTTAACAAGCCATTGTCAAGCTGCTATGGTACACTGACCCCAGTGTCTCCAGTGCCCCCGGGCAAAAATAGACCAGTTCTTCCAAACCCCTTTTCTCAAGAAAAACCTCTAAACCTATTCTCAAAGCCTTTTTCAAAGGGCTCAAAGGACATTATTGGGCCCAATGTGCAGATGAATCCACTGAGGCTGGGAGAGGGGGGGCTTGCCTGGCTCCTCAGCAGTAGCCTCCAGTGGGTGGAGCAGCGATGGGTAGAGCTCAGCCTCATTCCCAGAGGACGTGTGCCTCAGCTTCAGAATCCCATGGGCAGCTCCTCCCAAGTATGGGCGATAGGGGCCTTGAAGTTGACTCTTCCCCAGGGACGAAGCCACAGAAGACAGCCATCCCCTAACCCCCATCACCCCCATCCGTGTGTGCCTGTGGGAGCTTTCCCTACTACCCCATCTGAGCCTCAGAAGACCCCCATGCCCCAGGGGTCTCAGGGTACACAGAGACCTCCACTGCTTTCTGGACTCCCTGTAGCGTTTCTGACCACAAGCCTCCGCCAGACCACGTCCTAGTTTCGGGAGGAGCTTGGGTTTTGGTGTGGTCTTTGTCCAGACAGGAGAAGGGTCAGGGCTGGGGCAAGAAGTGGCCAGGCTTGGGACAGGTCAGGGATACTGACCCACAAAGAGGCCAGCAAGATGAGGAACATGGGTGTCCTGAGCTGTGTGGCCTTGGGCAGGTCCCTTAGGTTCTCTAAGCCTCATTTTCCTCATCCAGGAAATGGGGATGATTGTAGATTCCTTTCAGAGAGCTGCGGAAAGGTTCAGGGATGCATAACCACTCGAAGTGGTGCTGGCCCTGGCTCGGGCTGCTTCGCTGCCCAGTGGAGGTGGGCTGCGTGGGAGAGCAGCGAGCTGACCGGGACTGTGCTGTGGCTGGGGCCTGAGGACGAGTGGGTTTCTAGAGAGGAGCCTGGTGCATGTGTCAGAGGAACTGAAGGATCCAAGAGGAGATGATATTTGCGAGACCCCTGGGGCCTGCTCCGAGGGAGTCAGCGCACCCAACATTGACCCAGGGACTTGTTTGTGTGTTCCCTCACCTCCAGAGTTTCCAGGGGCCAAGTGTGCCCTGCTCAGGATAGTAGGCCTCACTTCCCATAGCTGTTCAGAATCAAAGGGAGCGTCATGGGCAGGCTGAGCTGGGCATCTTGCATCCCTGTCACTCTGATGTGGTCTGTAGTTCTGGGTTTCTTCAAGGTCCAACCCCAGTCTTGGGTTTAAGTGGGCCACACCCACTCCCTTGGCATTCTCTGTGGGCTGGTTATGGGGTCAGAGGAGAGGCATTTCCACTTCCTACCTCACCTCCTCCAAGAAGCCCTCTGGATACTGCTCCCCAGCACTTTGCCCATTGTCTGAGCTCTCAGGGTTCTCTGCATAGACTTTGTTAAACCCTTCTGTGTGTGTCCCTTGGCTGGGAGCTCCCTGACCATGGGGTCCATGGTATCTCCTGTCCACCTAGTGCCCAGCACTGTGTTAGCATTCAAGCGGGGGGCGGGGGGCGGTATAGGGCTCCTGTGCTCCTATTTTACAGGTGGGTCAGTTAAGGCCCTGCAAGGTCACACAGCCTGTTGCGACAGAGCCAGCCTGGCTCAGGTAGGTATGGGGCCACTGCTGCCTGCTGGGGCCTTCCTTCAGACCTCAGGACCATTCCCAGGCTTCCTTAGGCCTTGCAGCTCTGACCCTCCTGGCAGGCAGTCTTCCTGGAGGGCGAATAGTCAGTCTGTGCTCTTGAGAGCTTGAGGGGTTGGGGGGTAAAGGGTTGTGGTATCAGACTGAGAGGGTCAGAGGCAGGCCTTCGAGCCTCAGTTTACTCATCTGTAAAACAGGGATCCTAGTACCTCTGTTGTTGGGGGAGCAGGGTGGCTGGAAGAGATCACGCATATGTTCTCCTCGGCGGCCTCCTCGTTATTACTACTGACACTGTTATTTTGTTATCATCACATTATTATTCATGCTCCCAGGGCCCCAGCAGCTGCGGTGGCTCCAGGCCTGGATGCAGAGCTCTGGTGTGCTGAAAAGAAGTTGCAGTTCCTAATTAGTCAGCGCTCCAAGGAGAGGGCCTGGGTTTTAATTTTTGCTGCAGGGTCCCACCTGCCCAAGGCTTCCCAGCCCTCTCATCCATTCCTGGACTGGGGCTGCCGCCTCTTCCGCAGCCTCAGGTAGGGGGCCTGGCCCCAGGCAAAAGCCTCCCCAAATTTCCTCTGCCACTCCCTCCGCCTCCCAGACCTCTAGGGCCATGAATCATTTATGAGGCAAAAATGAAACCAATTAAGGACAAACTTTGAAAGCCTCTAATTGCTGCGCCTGGTGGCACGGAGGAATGAGGGGAGGCCAGCCTTCTCGGTGCGGAATCTCCTTGGCCCAGGCCTTCCCAGGCCGCCCGTCCCGCCGCGGCTCAGGGCGCCTCCCGGCTCCCTGCCGCCTCCCAGCCGGACGCGGACGTGCCTGCACGGCTCTGGCGGCCGAGTCTGCCGCCCCGGCGCCCGCCCGGGTCCCAGGCCGACTAATTAGGCCCGGCTCCCTCCCGCGCCGCCCACTGCCCGCTCCAGGCCCGCTGCCCGCTCCAGGCCCGAGGTGATGGCGGCTTCTTCTGCCGTTCTGGGGCCTGTGCCCCAGAGCTGGCCGCGTTTCTCGGGGCGGGAGCCAGCTCTGCTCGCTTGGCTTAACCCAGACGAGCCCAGTACGCCCTGTCCCTGAACCCCATCGAGGCGTGCAGGTCTCGGTAGGCTCTGGGCCATGCCGGGGTACCTGGCTTGGAGGCCCCTTCAGTCTGGGGGAGAGATGCTTATCCCAGGCGGAGTGGAGAGGGCTGGAGGATGACTGATGGCAGAGTCGGCAGGGGGTGTTGAGCCCCCAAGGTGTTGCACTGAGCAGGGATCCAGTTCCTCTTGGCTTTGCCACACACACAGTGACCTTATGTAGATTCCTTAGCCTCAGTTTCCCCATTTGTAAACCATCAGTACCAGCCCATTTTCTCCTGGATTTGGGATTTAGGGAGCTGGGCTTTGTGTACCCCTCCCAGTCTCCTCTTTTGGGGGTCTGCTGAGGGGGTGGAGGCAATGTCGGGACCCAGCAGGGCCTGCCTCACTGCCATGAGCCCTGGGTGCCAGTGGCCAGCCTGTTCGCTGTGCTGAGAGCCAGGCAGGCCCTGGGCACTCAGGCACGTTGTTTGCTGAAACCAAATTTCCGTGCTTGTGTTTTTCCATAATTATATTAGCAGGTGGGATTTTTCCTCGGGGAAGCAGTGGGAGAGGGAGCGCCATGGCAGTGTCCCCGCCCGCTCTGAGCGTGAGCTCACACTCAGCTCTGCCCGCCTGCCATAATGATTTTTTAATTATGCAGCCAGTGCTCGGAATTGCTAATCCACCTCCAGCCCAGCATCCACTCCTGCAACTCACACCCTAGCCCCTGGCTGATGTCCCTAGAGTGGCGGTGCCCAGCCCCGTGCCCATAACTGAGTGCCTGGGACCACCACCACAGTGGGAGAGAGGGTGGATCAGGGAGGGCCAGAGGGGTCCCTCTCCCCCATCTGCAAGGGCGGGATTGGTGGCTCTCTTTGTCTCCCACCCCACCCCTAGACCCAGCATGGCTTGCACCCGCCAGGACAGCTGTGGCTCTAAATGAGTTTGGGGTGTGATCTGTGCCCATACCAAGTGATGTGGCCACCCCCATTTCAGGGACATTAGACTGTCTTCCCAGCCTTGTGTGATCCCAAGGACACATGCACACAAGTACAACCTTTGTCACGCTCACACTCACGTATTCCCTTCTCCACACATAGCCCCACAGCCAGGCTACACACACATAATGACAAGTGCTGTGTGCTTCTCACACATGTAGCCTTACCTGAGGGCGGGGGCACCCTCAGGAGACCCCACTGCTGCCTCCCATGCCCTGCAGTGGCCCTACTCCCACTCCCTTGCCTCCAGAACCCCCTACCCCAGCCCCAGCCCCCCTATTGGGAGGTGCTCCAAGGCCTCCTGGCTCCCACCTCATGGGGTGGCTGCCTGTGGCTGGGGCTAGCCTGAGCCTCCATCGACCCTGGCCTGGGGGAGGTGCTGGGGGGGTTCTGCAGCACTGTGGCGGCAGCTCCTCTCCAGGCGCCCAGCTGTGGCATCTGTCAAGGTCAGATAGCGACTCCGGAACCAGCCGGCTCGGCCCCATGGCCCCTCTCGCCTCATTATTTTTGTGTTCCGGGGCTGCGGCGGGGCTGCGGCGACACCTCCCTCCCTCCCCCTCAGCCTCCCGCCTCTCGCCTGCCTCCCCTAAGCCTCTGTAGGGAGGGCCTGTGGTCTGGGGGCTTTTGTTTTCCAGTTTTTCCACGCTCAGGCCAGGCAGGCGGGTAGACACTGGTCAGAGCTGTTGGACCTTGAACATCAGACAAGACAGGAGTCCCCCTGTCTTGGCTAGTGGAACCCTCGGTTGGTTTTTCAAGGGCACAAACTGAACCTGGATGGAGCCCAGCCCCCACCACAGCCCAGGTGCACCTGTGGGCAGCTTCCTGTTTCCATAGAGGCCCCTGCAGCTGGCATCAGTTCCTGTCTACACATCCCCATCCCAGTAGGGCCCCAGACTCACATACAGCCCAGAGCTCCTGACACAACTCACAGTGCATGCGAACGTACACATAGCATTCATGTGGCAAAGATATGTTGATACGTACAGACCAGAAGAACCCACAGACATTGTCTCACCATGTAACATACCATCCTGGCACACGCACGCACTTGGGCATATGTGTACGTTCACAGACATGGGTCGCACACGCCTCCACTTTACATTTAGGGAGGTCACGGTCAAAGATCTCTGCCGGCACTGGTACATGAGCCCTGTGTATGCCTCAGTGCTGTGTGGTCTGTAGGGGGTCACAACTGAGATGACACACTCAACTGGGCGCACTCACAGGCCACCGGACACACGTACACAGTTGTGCCACACACGTCCTGGATAGACATGTGCAGTCACAGTATATGCAGTGCTCTCTTCACCATACACACCCCAACCCTGAGCTCACTCCCTGGTGCCCAGTGTCCTTGGGCAGTTATGCCACCTGAAGGGCTTTTGTCCCCTGAAATACTGGGAAGTGAGCTTGAGGCCTCTGCTTGCTGAGCCCTGTGTGTCTGGAGAGCCTCAGAGAATGGGAAATGGTTTGACCTGAACCGCCCAGGCCACTGCCCAGCCTCACTATGTGCACCACTCTAGGCCCAAGAGCACCAGGATGGGTGGGATGGGGTGGGTTCCAGGTGTGTCATGGGCTTGGTGGCTGCTGGCAGAGGCAGACTCTGGGGGGGTGACCTCAACTCTGGGTCCCTCTTCCCACCTCCTGTCCCTGATTTGGGTGTGTAAATGTTGGGGGAATGGGGTGTGGGCAGACTCCAGGCATCAGGGTCTCTAGAGTGGCCCTGGCCATCCCCTCTCTTCCTCCTCCAGCTGTGGACTGCTGTGGCTGCCCCCAGGAGGGGAGCTAGCTGGAGGCTTAGCAGTGACTGGGCCCCCACCCCCCAGGAAACTCAAAACCCTGGGCCAGCCGCGGGTGGCGGGTTGGGGCAGGCACAAAGAGGGCCTCTGTGCGGCCGGCTGGGCTGCCCACAGGATTCTGGGGGAGGAGGCAGGAGCCGGTTTCCGTCCCGTTTTGCTTCCTGCGGAGGCCGCCGGAATGCCCGGAGCTCTGGCCCAACCTGGCCCGTCTGGCCCACCCGCAGCCCCTTCCCCGTCTTTTTCTGGGCCTTGGGGTAAAACTGCAGACTTCTCTGCAACAGGGCCCCGAGAACCAGCCCCCCAAGACCCAAAGGAGACCTAGGGGATTTCCCCTGGCTGAGAGCTGAGCTGGACCTTAGCCTGCAACTGAAGGCTAACCTCCATGTGCTGCAGAGCCCTTGGCCAGGGTTGGAGTGCCAGGCCCTGGAGTCGCACAGACCTGGGTTTAAATCTTGGCTCTGCCACTTACTGACCTCGTGACCTTAGGCAGGTGACTTTATGTCCCTGAGCCTCAGTTGCCTCATCTGTAAAATAAGAGTGATAATAGTTGTCATAGAATCCGGTGAGAAAATGCCTGTGAATGCTTAGCACAGTGCCTGGCAGACAGTGAGTGCGCATTATTAGGACCTGCTGTTTACTTTCACATCCTCTGGGGTACTAAGAGCGGAAGGGACTGGATGCTCCTTGCCCCGATAGATCTCACCTCTTCTAGGTCTCAGTCTCAACCCTGCACCCTGCTCAAAACCCTTCCCTCAAATCAGTTTCCTACCTGAGATTATATCAGTGACAGATAGAGGCTTCTGGGGCCTTTCTCTTGAGATCTGGAGGGTGGAGGAGATCACTCTCTGCGATCTTTTTTTCCCCTGTGTCTCTATCTCCTTCCTCATGGTATGCCTTGGGATCGTGACTCCTGCAGTAGTTTGGGGTGAGGAGCAAGAGCGATTGGGAAAAAATGGGAAACTGAGGCTTAGTGGGGGAAAGAGCTTGGTCGAAGTCAACAGTCAGGGAGGGACAGGATGGAGCCACAAACCTAGACCTCAGGACTCCAGTTTTCTAGCCAGTCCTTTGGACATATCCCTCCCCTCCAGACACACAAACATACCCCACATGGGAGCCTCGGAAGGACAGTGCCCCATCTTTGATTTCTTGGCTTTTGCATCCCTGGGATAGCCTTCCCTGGCTTGTCCCATGGTGAGGCCCACCAGGAGGGAGGTCCTGAGGGGGTACGTGGGCCTTGATTTCTGATTGGTGTCAGCTTAGACACCACCACACTGGGAAATGTTTACTGCAAGATTCAGGGATCCCAGATAAGCAGGACATCATCACACCTGCTTATCAAATTGCCTGCTCTAAATGGGGCAATAGTAGAACTTCCTTCAGAGGTTGGGTACAAGGATTACATGAGATAAAGCATGGACAGTGTGTCACATAGGAAGAGCCCCATACCTGTTAGCTATGGTCCCACGTGACAGATGGGAAACTGGCTTAGAGGCCAGTTTTTTGCCAAGGTCAAAAAATGAGGAAGAGCCCTCCTGAACCTTGACTCTTCCAGGAAAGGAACCTGGCCTGAGGGAGATGCCTATTGAGGAAAGGTCCTGTCTTTATCGGAGGCATCCTAGGCATCTCCCTAGGGCCCCAGGTCAGAGCATACTTCCTTCCCGGGGCCTCAGTGTTTGCTGTCCACAAATGGGCTGATCCCCTGCAGCTGTTTTGGGGAACTCTGTAAAGAGAACAGAGCCCAGCTAGGTGGGGTGCAGTGGCTCATGCCTGTAATCCCAGCAATTTGGGAGGCCGAGGTGAGTGGATCACCTGAGGTTGGGAGTTCAGCTTGACCAACATGGTGAAACCCCGTCTCTACTAAAAATACAAAATTTAGCCAGGCCTGGTGGCGGGTGCCTATAATTCCAGCTACTCCAGAGGCTAAGGCAGGAGAATCACTTGAACCCGGGAGGCGGAGATTGCAATGAGCCAAGATTGTGCCATTGCACTCCAGCCTGGGCGACAGATTGAGACTCCATCTCAAAAAAAAAAAGAGAGAGGCTAGGCACAGTGGCTCACATCTGTAATCCCAGCATTTTGAGAGGCTGAGGCGGGTGGATCATGAAGTCAGGAGTTCGAGACCAGCCTGACCAACATGGTGAAATCCTGTTTCTACTAAAAATACAAAAATTAGCTGGATGTGGTGGCAGACGCTTGTAATCCCAGCTACTCTGGAGTTGAGGCAGGCGAATCACTTGAGCCCAGTAGGTGGAGGTTGCAGTAAAATGAGATTTCGCCTCTGCCCTCCAGTCTGGGCAACAGACTTCATCTCATAAAAAAGAAAGAAAGAAAGGAAAAAGAAGAGAGAACAGAGGCCTATGTTATCCAGGTTTTTCTCAAACCCTTGTGTCCCAGTATCGTGGTTTAGTCCTCAGACCAGGGCATGGTTGCTATCTGCCCCAGGAGGAAGGGTGCCAGAGGGTCAGGGGTGTGGAGTCAGGTACATAGAAATGGCGTCCCCTGTTCTGTCCTTGGCAGTCATCTTGGGGTGACTCTAGTGGGGTTGAGGGCATATCTCACTTAAGGCCACCCGCTGGGTGCTTGCAGTGGCCATTGTGTGGGGGTATGTGTGTCCATCCATAGCTGGACATGTGCCCTGTGCTCTCCGCCTGGGGCTGTGTTTCTCCCTGCCTCCAAGTCCTTTGGACATATCCCTTTGGAAACTCTCCAGGCTGAATCATGGAAATCAGAGATGGAACACCCTCCCTTCCACCCAATTGCCCCGCTCGGTTCAACCACCATAGACTGTGGTCTGCTTTGCCCACCGTCAGCCTGTCTGCCCATTTCGCCTCACTGGGAGGCCAAGAAGACCAGCTCACCAAGGTGGTGGGGAGAGGGTAAGGGGAGAGTGTCAAGTGCTGTGTGGAATCATGGAAAAGGTGCATTGAGCTGGGATGTGCAGACCTGCTGGACCAGTGCTTGGGGGTCCTGAAATGCAGCCTCTTCCACAAGCCTCCCTGGGCAGGCAGGATGGCTGCAAGGCTGGTAAGCCAGCAAGGAGTAGGGGACAGATGGTGCCTTGGTCAAACCCTGCCCTTGGTAGTGGTGATGGTTGCACAACTCTGTAGATTTACTAAAAATCATTAAATTATATGTATACTTTAATATGAAAGAATTTTATAGTATGTAAACTCTACCTCGATAAAACTAGATTTTAAAAATCCTGCCAGCCAGGCGCAGTGGCTCACAGCTATAATCCTAGCACTTTGGGAGGTGCAGGTGAGAGGATTGCTTGATCCTCATGGGAAGACCTCATTCCTACTAAAAATTAAAAAGAAAGAAAGAAAAATCCTGTCCTTAGCCTCAAGGCCCTGCACAGTTGGGACCCTGCCAGCCTCATAGACACACGTCACGCCCACTTCCCCCACTGCGTAGGTTCTTTTTCATGCCTTTGTTCCCTCTGGTCACCTCTCCTTACCCTTAACTCTCCGCCTAGCAGTCCCTTCTTCCAGGAAGGCCCCAGATAGCTCACTGTGTCCCCTTCCAGCTCTTGTTTCACACTGGCTCATGTGATTGTGGGCCCAGCTCCTGTACCCTCCTGGAAGGCAGTGCTGGGGTCTGTGTTTGTGTCCTCCACTGTCTCTCTGGTACAATAAGGCTCAGGTCTGCTGTCGGGGTAGGTGCAGGGAAGATGTGTGCAAAGGAATATCTAGAACATCCAGCTGTAGGCCACCTGTGTACATGTTTGTGTGCAGATGGCACCATCCCATCCCAGGATGTCCCCTCCTCCCCAGTGCTGTCTGGCCTGAGGGTTCAAGATTGAACCCTGCAGGGAGTGAAGTGAAGCTCATCTAGGGCTGAGGATTGAATAAGGGCACTGACACCACCTCCAGTGACCTCACTGCCAGCTGGCATTATGATGTCAATGGATCAGCATTCTAGGCCCTGGGCATCTCCAAGTCCCCCAGGTGGGGGCACTCTTCTCGGGTCTGTGACAGCTGGCCCCAACCACAGAGAGGTGACAGGCACGGTAACAATCCTGGGGAGTGAGAGCAGCCTTAGGGGTACCTAGGTCACCTGCTTTGGGCCACTCTGTCTATTGCAAAGGTGGCCACAGAGCAAGGTGACTAACGCTTGGGCTCTGGGTTCAAGTTCTACCCCTGCTGGGCACCAGCTGTTTGACCTCAGGCTGACAGCTTGAACCTCTCTGAGCCTAAATTTCCTCTTGTCTGAAATTGGCAAATAGTTCCCGTCTCCCTGGGTTCTGGGGAGGTGTTCAGGAGCTAAGACATGTAAAGCATAAAAGCACTGGGCCTGGGACACTGTAGATGCTCAGTATATCCTAGTTGATAGGATCCGTTGGTTAAGGAAACCTGAGCAGCAACATAGATGTGGGAGCTGGCTAGAAGGGGGCTGGCTCTGTGCCTTCTAGGGCTGGCCTGGGCCTTAGGGTAGAAGCATGGGATGGTCTCCACTACTGGGAGGGTGGCCCCAGGTTTGACTCTCCCTCTCTTTCCAGCTCAGTCAATGAGCTGGAGCCTACAGGAGGCATTGGGCCCATAAGAGGCACTGAGCCCTGCAGCCATGCTCTGGGGCTAAAAACCCATTGCCCCCCAGCCCTCCTGCTCACATCCTCAGGCCTTGGGCTGTATGGTGGGACTGATTTGGTCTCCCCGATATCCCCCACTTCCCCTCTACCCTTACCTCTGCCTCCCTCTCTTGTTGGCATTCCCAGCTGCCTTCTGGTCCCCATACTCCTGTGTCTGGGACTTAATCCTCAAGGCTGTTTCCTTGTCTTTTAGACCCTCAAGTTCCTGAGCCTGGACAAGGTATCCTGGGTCCCTGGGTCTCTGAGCCCTGTTGCCCCAGACACTGCTCCCTATGACACTCTCTCCACTAACCTTGACCCTCTGCCCCCTCCCCTCCAAGTCCTCTTTTCTCTAACCCACCCCTCTAGTTCTCTGTCTCACGATTCTCTGTCCCCACCACCTGTCTCTGTTCTGCTCCCACATGCCCCTCTGCCCCCCAGCTTTCCATGACTCGTCCCCCCTCAGCCCCTCGTGCTCTGTCCCCGCCCGTCAGTCCCTGGTCCCAGCTCCCGGCTGGCCGGCTCCTGCATGGACAAAGGGGTCCTTTGTGGGCTGACCGCGGCTGGCGGGGCGGCGGGGCGCTGGCTCCGCATTGCTGATGAAACGGAGCCCTTTGTTGTCCCTCCTCAGGCGCAGTATTTCTTTTTGGGGGCTGGATGCGTTCCTGGCAGGGCCGATGATGGATGCGCCCACCGCCGCCCGCCTGCCCGCCAGCTTTCCCTCCCGCTCATTCCCGCTCCGCTTCAACGCAGCCCCGGCTCCTCCCCTGCTGCCTGGGCACTGCCAGGCCCTTCCTGGCCTGGAAGGGGGTTGCTGTGTGCCCTGGAGTAGAAGTCTGGGACCTGGTAGGACGTCCCCTCTATGTCCTCTCCTTCATCAGTATGGCAAATGGGACTTTTGGTCAGGGGTCCACTGGGACCAGGACATCAGTTTTTCCTGAGGTCTGAAGGAGAAGATGAGCCAGGTACCAGGGCCGATTTGGAACAAGCTAGAGGACCAGATGTTCATGTCTGTCCACTCTGGATTTGAAAACCAAGTTGTCCCTGTGAGCCAGTCCCCCATGTACCCACCTCTCTTCAGCTTCTGTGGCTGGCACATCATAGTGTTCTGCCTGCAGCACCTGCTTGGTGACATTATCACATCCTCTGGTCCCAAGCTCAGCATGCCCCAGGACCTCAGAGGCTGGGGGTGGGTGGGTGGGCCCAGAAGAAGGACAGAACAGTGGAAGATCAGAGAAAGAAATTCCAAGAGAGGAACAGGACATGAGGTTTGGTCCCCACCAGAAGGGACTCAGGACGGAGACAAAAGCAGAGACTCAGCCAGAGCGCAGGCCGGCTGTGTTGGAGGGAGCTGACTTCTAATTGACCTGCCCGCCCCGCACGCAGAGCCAGATCCTGGAGCTGGGAGGAGGGAGGGGGTGAGCAGAGCAGGAGCAGCGTTAATGCAGCTATCGATTTCTGCCACCAGCCAGCAGGCCGCAGAGGCGGGGGACAAACACAGGGCTGGGGCGCAGCCTGCTCCCCTCCCCTCCCCACCTCACCAGCCCACAGACACCTGCCTTCTGTCTTCTCCCCTCACTCATATCTGGGCTGCTGGGGTTGTTGTTGGGTAGGGCAGATGAGCTTAGTTGGGATGAGCTGACTGGATGGTTTTTGTTCCTGATCTCACTGACCCCGGTCCCCAACACCTACCCAGGGTCACTGATTCCTGAGTGGCTCACAATCTGAGGAGAGCTGCTGAAAGGGCCATTCTGGTCTTGGCCCTTATGAGATGGGGGGGAACACAGCTATTCTTGGACACACATGGTCTTCTTGCTTCAGCTCTGACCGCTGATACCCCCCAGCCCAGCCTGGATGCCTGCCAGGGCCCCCTACCTCTGTCCTGGTGGAATCTGCCAGCTTGCCCAGCTCTTCCTCCCCACCCATTTCCCTCCGCTAGGAAGGAGCCCTAGGTGGGCTGGGGCCCACTGGGGTGGTACAGGGAGCGCCTGACTGTTGCTGCTGCCACTCCCCTCACTCTGGAGACAGCTTTTCCTTTTCCCACACCCGGTCCTCTCTGGCCACTCCTCAGTCCTGGGCAGCCCCCTGTCCCGCTTGGGGCCTGTTTCCCCCCTGTAAATGCAGAGGACTGGACTAGATGCTCTCCTTGGACAGGCTTAAGTCCTGTGACTTGGGGGGTGGAGGGGTTGCCTGGGGACAGAGATCCAATGTGTGCTGCCCTCAAACCCAGGGCGTGATGGGGCCGGCCAGATGTGCGCCTCCCCCCGAGCCGCCAGCTGCTCCAGGGCTGGGCCCTGTCCTCCCATCCCTCTCCTGGGGGATGCTAGGCCACAGCAGCAGACAGGGAAGGGAGGCTGGAGAGCCAGGACTGATGAGGAAACCGCTGCCCTACTCCATCTGGCTCAGTTCCTTCCAGCTGAGGAGGCAGCACAGACCCCTTAGCCTTGAGGCCTAAGTGGAGCAGGCCCTGTCCTGGGAAGGGCCGCCTAGGAAATGTGAGGTGGCCAGAGGACAGGTTCCTGCTGGGCTCCATTCCCTTGAGGGTCACACCTCCTTCTCAGTGCCAGCCTGCCCCAGCCAGAGGCCCCTCCTGGCAGGAGCCCACCCAGGCCCTACTCTACAGGCCTTGTGAGGCCTCTGCCTGCTCCCTGATCTGGGAGCCAGGCCAGAGCACCACAGTGAGGCCTGAGTAGAGACAAGAATGGGGTCTGAGACGATAATGATTGTGGTTCAGGGTTGAGGAGGAAGCGTGTGGCAGAGTGTGCATAAGCATGTCCTCTCTCTGTGGCAGGGGACAGCTTGTCCTCTGTCCCTGTGCTCCTTACCCTGTAGCAGGAGGGGAGAAGCTCCCTGAAATAAGGGTTCTGCACTCATTGGGAAACTCTGGGTTTTCTACAAAGGCAACCAGGTTCCCTTGCCTGCAGGACATGTCAGAGCCTTGAAATAACTGATGTATATTAGGAATCTCTAGATGAGGATCCAGGGGCAGCCTTCCAGATTTTATGATGTGTCTGGTCAAGCACTCTTCTCCTCAGATAGCAAAGGAGATTAGGTTATGGAGGTGACTTTTTATATTTATTTTTTGGTGAGACAGGATCTCTCTCAGTTACCCAGGCTGGAATGCAGTGGCATGATTGTAACTCACTACAACCTCAACCTCCTAGGCTCAAGCAGTCCTTCCACCCCAGCCTCCTGAATAGCTGGGACTACAGGCATGCACCACCACACCTGGTTAATTTTTGCATTTTTTGCGGAGATGGAGTTTCGTCATGTTGCCCAGGCTGGTCTCAAAACTTCTGGGCTCAAGTGATCTGCCTGCCTCTGCCTCCCAAAGTGCTTAGATTACAGGCATGATCGACTGCACCTAGCTAATAACATCTCTAGCACTCCCCCACCCAGCACAGGAAGGACTCCCTGCTTCCAGCAGGTCTTCTTGAACCCTAGCAGGGCAGATTTGGGCTGCAGTGACCTGGACTGGGCCTGTACCATGCCACTTGGTGACTGTGTGTTCATAGACTGGTAGTTTTCCTAAATCTTGTCTCCCTCATCTATAAAGTAGAGAATTACCAGCCACTGCTTCTAGAGTTCTTGTGGGTCTTAACTGAGATAGTATAAATAAGACATTTCTCACCAGGGTGGATCTGGTGCTTAATAAATGCTTGGTCAAGCTGGTGGTAGTCAGGAGGCCAGGACAGTTGATAGTGGCGGTGGTGGCGATGTTGAAGGGGGAGGTGTTCACTGTTGCCCTGACCCTGTATCCTTATCTGTGACAGAGTGAAGACATTTACACCTGGACACCTGACCATGTGCCTGCCCTGAGCAGCGAGGCCCACCAGGCATCTCTTGTGGGCAGCAGGTCCAGGTCCTGGTCTGTGGACCCCTGGCAGTTGGCAGGCTCCCTCTGCAGCGGGGTCTGGGCCTCCGCCCCACCATGTCGAGCCTTGGCGGTGGCTCCCAGGACGCTGGCAGCAGTAGCAGCAGCAACACCAATGGCAGCAGTGGCAGTGGCAGCAGTGGCCCAAAGGCAGGAGCAGCAGACAAGAGTGCAGCGGTGGCTGCCGCCACGCCAGCCTCTGTGGCAGATGACGCACCACCCCCCGAACGTCGGAACAAGAGCGGTATCATCAGCGAGCCCCTCAACAAGAGCCTGCGCCGCTCCCGCCCGCTCTCCCACTACTCTTTTGGCAGCAGTGGTGGCAGTGGTGGTGGCAGCATGATGGGCGGGGAGTCTGCTGACAAGGCCGCTGCAGCTGCAGCCGCTGCCTCCCTGTTGGCCAATGGGCATGACCTGGCGGCGGCCTTGGCGGTGGACAAAAGCAACCCTACCTCAAAGCACAAAAGTGGTGCTGTGGCCAGCCTGCTGAGCAAGGCAGAGCGGGCCACGGAGTTGGCAGCCGAGGGACAGCTGACGCTGCAGCAGTTTGCGCAGTCCACGGAGATGCTGAAGCGTGTGGTGCAGGAGCACCTCCCACTGATGAGCGAGGCAGGTGCTGGCCTGCCTGACATGGAGGCCGTGGCAGGTGCCGAAGCCCTCAATGGCCAGTCCGACTTCCCCTACCTGGGTGCTTTCCCCATCAACCCAGGCCTCTTTATTATGACCCCGGCAGGTGTGTTCCTGGCCGAGAGCGCGCTGCACATGGCAGGCCTGGCCGAGTACCCCATGCAGGGAGAGCTGGCCTCTGCCATCAGCTCTGGCAAGAAGAAGCGGAAACGCTGCGGCATGTGCGCACCCTGCCGGCGGCGCATCAACTGCGAGCAGTGCAGCAGTTGTAGGAACCGAAAGACTGGCCATCAGATTTGCAAATTCAGAAAATGTGAGGAACTCAAAAAGAAGCCTTCCGCTGCTCTGGAGGTAACGGCGCCTTAGAGGGAGGTGTGTGGGCTCTTGTGTCTGTCTGGCAGTCCAAACCCACCCTCATCCCCTGACCCCACCTTTCCTACCTGGGCGAGGGTCTGGGAGATACCCCACCAGGCCATGGGGCCTGGGGGTCTGTTTTCGAGACACCAGTTTACTGCCTCAAAAGTCAGAGCCACATTCTGAGAATCCCATCAGGCCACAATTTGCAAGGCAAGCATAAAATTCCAGGCAAGGGCTTAGCATTCTCAGTCAGTCCCTGGGATTCTGTTACCCGTCCTGGGGTTCTGGGTCAGATATTGAGATTTCCATATAGGTCCTAAGTTTCTGATGCTCAGACATGGCCTAAAGCATTCAGTCCAAGACCTAGAACTCTGGGACTCGCCCCTGCCCTGTTGAAGGGATTCTGTTTCACAGACCCTCCTCCCTTAAGCCCTTCATTTGCTCCTCCAGGGCCATCTTTCCCCCAACGCCACCCAAGGATAGAGCTGCTCCAATGCTGGGTGCCCTGCTCTGAGGCCTGGAAGAACCCTTGGTCTAGATACCTAGTTGACAGATTTTTGGGGCCGAAGTAAGGGGAGGTGACCATGAGCCTGGAGTGGACAAGGGCCTAGCCACCATGGGATTGGCTTGGACAAAGCAGGGGGCTCCCATGCTGCTGTCTCTGCACGCCTGTGGCAGGGCCTTTCCCTGTGCCCCCAGTTGCAGCAACCTAGCTGGAGTACAAAACTCCAACCTAGCTGGAGTACAAGCCAGGCCTGGGTACAAAACATCTTTTCAGCCTGCTGTCCTTGCCCCTGTTCCCACCCCTCTATGAGTGGGCTTGACACAAATGTCCGGAATGGTTGGAAAACAACAATGATGTATCCCAGCCATGGCCTCCTGGTCACCCTCCCCAAGCCCCAGCCCCAGCCCTCACCCTCCTATTTCTGCTCTCCTATGTACACACAAAGGCATCCACTTTAGTCCAGTGGACACACGTGCACACACACCTAGACACCGCCGCTTGAGAAACAGCCCAAATCCCTGCCTCCCACAGCTCCATACCACACAGTTCAGCATAGCTCGAGGCACACACTCATTTACCCAAACATGCCACAGCCACCTGGCGCTGTTGCCTTTGGGCCAGGGGAAAGGTCTTCCTCTCTGGAAGGAGGGTTCCTGGGCACAGTGGCTCAGGTGGCCTCTGAATCCTCTGGGCCTTCCAGCAGCCCAGCGGGTCAGGCTCCTCCTTTGGCCCGGCTGGGGTGGCAGGAGCTCCGAGGGTTGGCTGCTCTTCCTCCATGCCCATCCCTTCGCCATGAGGCCATCCTCGGGGGAACGTCTTTGCTTCAGGCCCACCTGGACCCTGACTGAACTCTCTCCTTGTTTTTGTCTCCCGCCCCCACCAGAAGGTGATGCTTCCGACGGGAGCCGCCTTCCGGTGGTTTCAGTGACGGCGGCGGAACCCAAAGCTGCCCTCTCCGTGCAATGTCACTGCTCGTGTGGTCTCCAGCAAGGGATTCGGGCGAAGACAAATGGATGCACCCGTCTTTAGAACCAAAAATATTCTCTCACAGATTTCATTCCTGTTTTTATATATATATTTTTTGTTGTCGTTTTAACATCTCCATGTCCCTAGTATAAAAAGGAAAAGAAATGAAAACAATTTTAACTGGTTTTTTGGAAGAACAACAACAAAAAAAGAGGTAAAGACGAATCTATAAAGTACCGAGACTTCCTGGGCAAAGAATGGACAATCAGTTTCCTTCCTGTGTTGATGTCGATGTTGTCTGTGCAGGAGATGCAGTTTTTGTGTAGAGAATGTAAATTTTCTGTAACCTTTTGAAATCTAGTTACTAATAAGCACTACTGTAATTTAGCACAGTTTAACTCCACCCTCATTTAAACTTCCTTTGATTCTTTCCCACCATGAAATAGTGCATAGTTTGCCTGGAGAATCCACTCACGTTCATAGAGAATGTTGATGGCGCCGTGTAGAAGCCCCTCTGTATCCATCCACAAGCACAGAGCTGCCAGCGGGGAGCTCGCAGAAGGGGAGGGAGCACCAGGCCAGCCAAGCTGCACCCACAGCCCCCAGACTGGGGTCCCCCACCCCAACAGTGATGATTTTGGAGAAAAAAGAAAATGAAAGTTCTGTTCTTTTATCCATTGCGATCTGGGGAGCCCTGTCTCGATATTTCCAATCCTGGCTACTTTCCTTAGAGAAAATAAGTCCTTTTTTTCTGGCCTTGCTAATGGGAACAGAAGAAAGGACTTCTTTGCGTGGTCCCCTGCCTGTGGGGGTGGGTGCCTGGGGGCCCCCTGAGGCCTGGGCCCCCCTGCCCACGGCCAGCTTCCTGCTGATGAACATGCTGTTTGTATTGTTTTAGGAAACCAGGCTGTTTTGTGAATAAAACGAATGCATGTTTGTGTCACGAAGCACCACTGGCTTCTTGCTCTCCGGTTTTGGGGGGCTGACTTGGGGGCCATTCCTGAGCAGGGGTTGTCTGGGACTGCCTGGAGGAGGAAGAATGATGATCCCAGGACATTGAGAGTGGGGATTTCTTGGAGAAAAGAGGCCTCTGGATCCAGAATGGGGGAGAGTAGGAGCAGTCAGCCTAGCAGACAGGAGGGAAAGGCTCTTAACCTGGAAGTCGCTGGAACCGGAGTACTTCAGCGGCCTGGTTCACCTCCTGCCTCCGAATGTGGACCTCCAGGGATCCTCACTCACCTGGGGCCACCTTCTCTGTTGACCTAAGTTCATCAGGGCCCAATGAGTAAAGCAGCCAGCAGCACGGGGCAGGTGGTGGCAGGGATGAGCCGCCTGTTCAGGGTCTTCTTTCTTTCTTACCTGGCAGGGATCTAGGGCTCCTGCAGCCACCAATGTCATTCCCTGGGAAACAGTTTCAGCTCAGCTTTGTGGGGACCTGGCTGTGCATATACACCCATTCCTCTTTAGGTCTGAGGGCTGCTAGGCTGAGTTCTGAGGGTGTCCTTGGCTTTGACTGTCCCCACTTTCAGAGGGTTTGTTGGTACAAGGTTGTCTGGAACCTCAGAGGTCAGATGTCTGGGGAAGTCACCACACAGCCACATGGTTTGGGCCAGGAAAGGGTGGCATTGGCATGCCCCTCCCTGTACATCACAGAGGCCATCCTGAAGGAGGAGGCTTAGCCATCCACTGGGGGAGTGTTGTCACCCAGCTGCTTTGAGCCTGGCTGAGATGGAGGCTAGACTTGAGGAAGGACTTCCTGACAGTGTTGGGCCCTGGCTTCAGGTGGGTGAGGCTGAGTGGGTGTTGAGGTGGGGGAGGTGGGCTATCTTTACCATTGTTCTGAGAGTCGAAAGCAGTCATTTTGGGTGGGGGTGGCGCTGACCCCCAGCCCCTTCCCAGGTGTCACAAGCTCTCTTCGATCGCCAGGGCCTCAGCAGCCTGGCCTGGCACAGCGGGGGCAGGCAGGGGCAGTGGGAGGCAGCTTTCAACTTCAGCTCTGCCTGGGAAAAATTCCCTTTCATGTGGCTGCCTGTGATCTCTCCAGGCGGCTCTGCCGAAGGGGGGTGTCCAGCAGGGAGAAGGGGGAGGCGTTGCAGCTGGGGGGCACCCTCACCCCCAGCACAAGGCAAACGGCGGCACCTCCAGAACCTTGAGGAGGGTCCTCCTGTGGGAGTGGGGGGAGCCTGGCTAGCAGGGGGCTCTGGGCAGGAGGCCCCTTCCTGCCCCCGCCCGCTGCTGGCATCACACAGGCTGCAGATGGCCTCAGCCGGCCCTGGTTGGCACACCTACAGGTGTGGGGTGGACGGCTCTGGTGCCAGCCCCGAGGGGGTGCTGTGACTCAGCCGGCCTGTACCTCTCAGTGTGCCAACCCACAGTCCAGCCGCGTCTCCTGAGCCCACTCCCCAGCACACAGCCGAGGCTCAGAGCCCCTCACCCGTTCCAGGCTCAGATCCCTCACCTGTTCCAGCTTCATGCTGCTTTGTGGAAACGGTAAGGCAGCCCCTCTGTGTCTGGAAGCCGGGGTGGGGACAGCTGTGAGGCTGGCTGAAAACATGCTGAGGACCCAGTTACCTCATCTGAGAAATGGGGCAATAATTGTTTCCCCCATAAAGTTGCCTGAGGATGAAATGTGATCATCCTTGGGAAGGGCCTGGATTGTCGTAAGCTCTGTCAATGGCAGCTGGTGTTGCTATTTTTAAACTATTATTCACCTAAATCTCACCAAGATGTCCCTCACCTTCTGCCCGGCTGTGTGTCCTTCCTGAAGCCCTGGCCGCCCCCACCTCCCACCATTGTAGAGTGGCCCAGCCTTCAGCCCTTTTCCTACCTGGGTGCAGCCCCATCCCAGCCTGCAGCAGCTTTCTGTCTCTGGCTCACTCTCACTGCATGTCCTGAAGGTCTTTCAGTCCCTGATGCTCCTGTGACTTTGGGTCTCCATCTTTCCTGATCTCTAAGCCTCTTTGTGTCCCTGGGTCTCTGCCCCTCCTGTCTCTCCATCTCTGTATCTGCCTGTATCTTGTACTCTGTTGCAGGCTCACCCCTGCTGTTCCCCAGCTGACAGAGGCATCCTTAGAGGCAGGCTCCCTGGCAGGGTTGTGCACCCCATTCCACTCACTCCGGTTGCCCTCACCTCTCCTCTGCTACAGTTGGGAAACTGACTTCTGGTGACCTGGGAGCCTTTCCTCTGGGTACTCTGTACCCCCACCTGGGTGATCTGGCATTCAGAGCCAGCTCTGGGCACAGAAGGGTGGGGGTTTGAGAGGCTGGGTGCACACACTGGGATGGAGATAAGTCCAGACTCCAGGTAGATCCTACATGGACCTGTGTGTGTCTGTGTCTCTGTGTGTGTGTGTGTGTGTTGCTTTAAGGGCCTGACAATTGTGTGAGGCTTTGTGCAGTAATGTGGCTATGCGTGACATCAGGTGTGACATGAAAATGGGTTTGTGACAGTGTGTATGGGTGACTGAGATATGAGACCCTGTGGCCAAGGGTTGGTGTATGATAGTGGTCACACTTTGGAATGTTCTGTGACATTGTGTGTGTGATCTTGTGACATTGTACAATTCTGTAACAGACCCAGTGTGATACCGGCTTGTATAACTGTGACGTTGGGTGATTCTATGTGGGTTTGTGACATTGGGTGATTGTGGATGTGTGACATTGGGTGATTCTGTGTTGAGTGTGTGACATTTGCTGATTGTGTGAGTGACATTGGGTGATTCTGTGTGAGTGTATGACATTGGGTGATTGTGTGTAACTGATTCTATGGGAGTGTGTGACACTGGGTGATCGTGTGTATGTGACACTGGGTGATTGTGTGTGTGTGACATTGGGTGATTCTATGTGTGACATTGGGTGCTTCTGTGTGGGTGTGACATTGGGTGATTGTGGGTGTGTGACACTGGGTGATTGGGTGTGTGACACTGGGTGATTGTGTGTGTGACACTGGGTGATTCTGTGTGTGACATTGGGTGATTCTGTATGGGTGTGTGACATTGGGTGATTCTTTGGGCGTGTGCGACATTGGGTTTACAACTCGAATGGCATTGTGTGACCCCAGGGCAAAACTGGGTGATTCAGTGAGTGTGTGACTTTGTTTCTGTGTGGCCATCATGGATGTGGGCTGGGACTGACATCAGGGATTATGTGTGTGTGATGTCTCCGTGTGACCATGGTGTGACCCTGTAGCCTGTGTGTGTGCTTGTGGCTTTGTGTCTGTGCACCTGTGATCCTCTCAGTGATGCTGACACTCTTGCCATGTGTGTCTTTGCCTCTAGCATTTCCTGGGTCTCCGCCCTGACAGCCGTGCATCTCTGGGGAGAGAGTGGAGGATCTGACAGCCCCTCTCACCCTCAGCTTGCACCCTTGCATGGCCCTGAGGCCCAGTCTGGATGGGGGAGCTGGCGTGGGGGCAGCAGGCACAGTTCCCACGGCTGCTGCGGCCCCTATCCCAGCCTCATCACTGCCGGCTTCAGCTCCACAGAATATCCTGGCAACCCCGGCCTCTTTGTTCTCCAAGGCCGCCAAAGGCCTCCCCCAACCCCAGCCTGCCCAGCGCCTGCCAGGCACCCCCTCCCCTGACAGCAGCCAGGCTTGGCCTGACCTGGTCTCTAGCTGCCTTTATCCCCCACCCAGACTGAGGCCCCTGTCCCATGCCCTGGACCTGACTCAGGGCTCCAGACGGGGCCTTTGACCCTCTGCTCCAAACTTTCTGTGGTCATGCTGTGCAGGAAGAAGGAAGCAGGATTGGTCCTGTGGCTATACTGGGTGATTGTGGGCCAGGAGCTGGGATTTCTGTATGGGTATTTCCCCTTGGCCAAAGGCTGGTTGGAGGCCCAGGGATGGTTTCAGTTTGTCTGGTAAGTTTTGCTTCTTTAGCTCCCAGAAGTCTTCAGGACAGGAATTATTACCCATTTTGTTGATAAGAAACTGAAGCCTATAAGGGTATGTGACTTCCCCAAGAGCAAGAGCAAGATGGTAGCAGGGACCTGATTAGAACCTAGCTCCTGGCTACCTTGGGAGAAAGACCAGGTGCCTCCAGAAGAATGGAGAGGGGCCTGGGAGTCTGGACATATGGGTCCCTGCTTATTGCCTGGTTACCATGTGTCAAAGCCATGTTTGTGTTTGTCTGTGTGTATGTGTGTGTCCTTGCTGGATGACCTTGGCCAAGTGCTCTTACCTCTCTGTGTTCCAATAAAGAAGGACAACATAGCCAGGGGTGGTGGGTTGGGGAGCTTGACAGGGTGCTTTGCAGAGCAACAAGGTCACCTCAGTTAGTGGCAAGAGCTAAGCATCTCCAGCAGGGACAGATTCTGGCTCGGGGCCCCAGCCTCCATTCCCAGGCTCAGCCCAGCTCTGTGCTGCCACAAAAAAGGAGGCAGCGATGGCTACATGGCTTGGCTGGAGTCAAGGCCGCTTGGGTCTGACCTGATTGCAGCACAAGCTCCCACCCCCTTCCAGGTGCCAGAGATGGATGGATGGAGGTCACTGTACAGCTTGGCCCCAGTCCCCCACTGCCCACCCCGTAGCCCTGGGCTGAAGACAGCCAGCCACTGTTACAGGAGGGATAGGCAGCCACCAGCATGATAATAAAACAGACCTTGGCCCAAACACCCTGCAGGCATGGCACAGAGAGTCCCAGCTGTCCCCTAGGGTCACACAGCCCTGCAGGGAGTCCTGTCCCCAGAGACCCACATCTCCCTTGAGGGCTCTTCCTGCCCCACGGAGTAGAGAATGGTAGGGGAGCGTGGAGGAAGTACAGGAGGGTCCCCTGAGGCTGCCGGCCAGGCTGCCAGTGGGGACACTTTAATCACTCTCCACCTGTCGACCTGCCATCTCTCAGCAGCATTAAATTCCCCTCCTGCCGCAGAACAAGGGCTGCCTCAGATTCCAAGCAGCAGGGTATGAAGATAGGGTAGGCCCAGAGGAGGTGAGCAGGGTCCTCCAG